TCCTGCAGCTGCAAGTTCCTACTGCTTCGAGGGTTTAGGGGTTCAGGGGTTTAGGGGTTCAGGGGTTTAGGTTTATGTTTTAGGGGTTTAGGGTTTAGGGGTTTTGACGCTCACACACGGAAAGGGGTTTAGGGTTTAGGGTGAGTTCTACTGTTCTGGGGGGTTTTGTTTATAGTTTTATCTAAGGGATCAGTTGCCTCCTGTTTGGAATGCGTTTAGAATTGTGCTGTCTAAGGGATCATAGCCGAGGGTTTTGACTGAAACTCAGGGATCGTAACCTACTCTTTTGAGGCAGTCGCTGTGTCATATAAGTGGCCGTGACCTACTAGGTTGAGGGTTTTACCATGTAGCTAAGGGTTCGTCGTCTACACTGCAGGTAACGATTCCTGGCACCTCGTCCCATCCCCCAGCGATCCACTGCATGGCATACCCTAGAGCTGCAGTTACCTACATAAGTATAAGTAGTAGGTTCCTTTCCGATTCCATATATTATGTACCCCAGTAACCCTCTATTCAGGTAACTGGAGCCCAAGGGACAGGTGACTGGGCTCTTAGCCCAACTCTTCATGTCCATGCGTGGTTCTGAATTTGACACAAAGGACGTATGCAATCAATAGCATTGTAAGGGTGTCTGTTTCTCCAAGGACTCAAGACAGATATGGGGGGTTCCGGAAATAGGGGACCCTAATATTGTACCCTAAAAAGTAGGATCCCTATTGCAAGGTCCTCAAAATAAGGTACCCTATAGACAGATGATTGGGGAACACCGTCCTCGGCGCTTGGCCATAGACACATCAGGGGGTTTTGGCATGGGATGTAGGGTCTATAGGGTTCAGGGATGGTATATAGGATTGTTTGGTACACTTATATAGGGTTTAGGGTGTAGGGTTCGATAGGATTCAGAAACGCGAAGCATGCGAAAGCAGGTCGCGCCATCCACCTTGCGAACTACATGGTCATGAAGCCTCACACCCACATTGATCCGAACCCTCATGACCAGGACACTTACCAACCCCAAGCCCCAAGGTGCTCCTTCTTGTAGAGGTTCGGAAACATCTGAGTTTTGAGAGTCGCCCAGCATTGGTCAGAAGGGACCACCTCGCTTCGAGAATATTGGAAGCCCCCCATCAGATGGATGAGATGCATTCATCGTGAAACTTGTGACCGGGCAACCGAAGAGTTGGGTCCTTGGAGGCCTTTGGGCAAGCAAAACTCCAACCAACCCCATCCACAAATTGCCCTAGAATCCCTCACAAAACTAAACCACCAACAACCTTCACCTAAAACCACTAATGAACTAAGCCCCCAAACATCCCCAAACCCTAAAACCCTATAAACTACTACAAACGCGCAAAGTCACAAAACCCGTGCGCCCTATCGGGGCGAAGCCCACCTTCTCCTCCACACGCTCGCGAAGCTGTGCGCGAAGGCTCGCGATCTCTTTTTGGGTCTCAGCCTTGCAGCTGGCTTTAGATGGGAGTTTCCGAAAATAGGGGACCCTAAGGGTTCCTTTAAAGGGCTACTATCAGGGTACTATAAGGGTCCCTTTAAAGGGCTCTATCAGGGCTCATAATGGGAGTTTCCGAAAATAGGGGACCCTAATGTAGTACCCTAAATAGTAGGAGCCTTATTACAAGGATCCCTAGAAAAAGTACCCCTAATCTTCGGAAACTCCCAGATAGGAAACCCTGAACCCTAAACCTTGATCCCTAAACTGATAGGGTTTAGGTTTTGGGTTTATGCAGTTTAGGGGGAGGCTCGGCCAGGCAGTTGGGTAAAGGGTTTATAGGGCTTCTGGGTTGACGATGAAAGGCTAAATGCATTTTTGTTTGGGTGCCATCAGCCTTCCCCCCCCCCCAGGGGTTTAGGGCTTACAGGGCCTAGAACCCTTAAAGGCCGGAAGTTCATTTTTAGAGGATGTGGGTTCGGTTTTTTAGGGTTTAGGGACGTCCGGAGCTGAGTGATAACTATAACGGCCACGGAATTTCGCATGATTGTCAGGGTGAACAGTGCTTCAACTGGGATTGAGATTAATGCTGTTGATGGACAAAATCCTGCATGACCCTAAGGACTCTTAACTTATGGGAGCTATGGTATGTTCCTTTTCATGGGTACTGCAGGATTTTGTCCATCAACAATAGGACGTCGTACACACAAAACCCCAAATCCCAGGACTTTTTGTTTGTTTGGGAGTTCATCAGAGGGCTTTTGCAGAGATCCTCAACACCATAAAGACCAACCACCGATGTTAACAACTACCCCCATGCACTTGAAAAAAACTTCTTGTTTCCAGCCTCAGCTTCGGCTTTCTGAGGGCATTATTCCGTACTTAAGCGTACCTCCGTAGTATATGCACCTTGAAAGCCCCTGGTAGTTTACCTGATGGCCTACCCATATAGGCCCCATAGTAATTCCTTGTTAGAATCCTATAAGGTGATCCCAAAACGGAACTACTATGGGGCCTAATTATGGGTAGCGCTCTGCCTGCCTGCTGCGCAAAGAGCGTCCGAAGTTGATCGGCGATCCCGTCCTCTGCATTCCGAGACGGGAGTGCCAGGGTGTTGGGGTTTGGGGTTCGTGGGTTTGCCTACGGTTGGAGTTTCCGAAAATAGGGAACCCCAATATAGTACCCGAAATAGTCGGATCCATATTATAAGGACCCAAGTATCAAGATTAAGAGGGTCGATCTGTGGGGTTTTGAGAGCCATGGGGTTTCCACCTCTCACTTATCTGGCCGCCCAATTACCTTTACGAGGGTACTGCCTGTTAAACCAGTTTACGTGTTTGATTGTCTGCCTTTGGTAGTAGGAACTAATTGGGAGTTTCCGAAAACAGGGAACCCCAATATAGTACCCGAAATAGTCGGATCCATAAAATAAGGACCCAAATATCAGGTACCCCTAATTTTCGGAAACTCCCAATTAGGAGGTTCAGGCTTCTAGAGATTCGACTCCTCTCGAAACGATAACCCAACAAACCTGAAACATAAACGTTCTGTAAAGGACAGCCCCAAATTGAGTCACAAACTGCAGAGGCAAGACTTCCTCCGTCTGACATTTTTGAACGTCCTGCTATCACCCTGCGTTTCGCGTCTAGGGGACCCTCTGCCAGCACTCCCCGTGCTGCACGGGCCCGAATCCCAACTCAACGCGGGATCTTAAACATCAGCCCTACCTTGCACCCCAAAGCCTACAAAGTGTGTTGAATGTGATGTGCTATATAGGCTATGCTCATACATGCAAAAGCTCGACGTCGTCCTACAGCGTACACCCCAAACCGAAATCATCAACTTGTCGGTCGGCGTGGGTATCCAGAGCCCAGCAACATGACAATCAACCAGAAGAAATTAAAAAGCTTGCTTCGAGGGCCAAGATGTCGGGTTCTCAGATTCTTGGCTTCGTCTTCCCGTAAGCTGTAAACTCGAAGCCCTAAGCCGGTATCAGTTCTGAGTTGCGCCCACCTGCTCACAACCAGACACGCAAACCCTAGAGGGATCAACAGGGAATAGGCATGGGGATTCGGGATTCGGCAATCAGGTTTACAGGCTTCGGGTTCAAGGCACATCCTGCAGGCAAAGCGGACCAAAAGCCAAAAACCAAACCTTGAATAGAAACCCTAGTCTCTGTCCTCTGTCACGGGCATCGATGCCCAAGGGATCATTCCCAACTCCATTGTTGACCCCTTGGGTCTCGCTAAGAATGTCAGCTGCCTGTTAACATGAACTTTCACTCTGACTTGACATGTTGTTTAAATTAGATACGAAACCGACTAACTCAGACCTGCGGTGGGCAAGGTCTTGCCTAACATGGCCCACTACGCCGAGAGGCCTCCGACCCAAGCCTAGCTGTTTTGCATGGCCCTGTACGCTAAACGAAACCCAATTTTGAACACAAAGCTGTGAGCCGCAGCGCAGCGTTTCCGACACGTTAGGATTTCAGGAGAGGTGGGTTCACAGCTTGGTGCAGGTTTGGGATTCTAGTGTTCAAGTTCGAGTATCTCTGCGAACCGTACACGGTTTCCAGGAAAAGCAACTTGCGGGTTTCGGCCATGAAATCACAGAGTGTCAACTTCTCCCAAGCCATAGAACCCTAAATACACTGGATCCAATGCCGGCTCGGGCTCCTCCAGAACTTCGCGGTTCAGTAGCTGCTAGATTCGAAAATTAAAATTCAACGTGGTGAGCCCAACCCTACCAACAAAAAATAACAAAGGTTGAAATGCAAAGTTTAACTGCCTATAAAGACCCGAAATCTTTACGCGAACGGAAACGCTTTAATTTGGGCTTTAGGGCCGCTGATCTAAGTGCGCCCGTGCGGAACACAGATTCCTTCATCAGAGCCATTGCACCATACAAGCCACATTCAGGCCTCACAAAGAAGCCAAACAAACTCCAGACTCCAGCCAGAAGCCAACACCTGCAACCTTAGTTACGAGTGATGCAACTTCAACTCCAACACCACACCGAAGCTCAGGAGTGCAGGAAAGCTCGGCTTGTTGGTCAAAGCCCTCAACCTAAAGAAGCTACGATGGAATTCTTATTGATAAGAGTACGGCTTTGGGAACGTGCTTTTGGTGTACTGAGTAAAAGACCCTGAGAAATAGTTCCGCAGCGAAATTCTGCAATTTTTCATCTTCTATATTACATCATTCTGCCGGGCTCAAGCCGGAGGCTTTCGAGTTGAGCGTTGACGGCTACTCGGATGGGACTTAGTAAGTCAGGTTAGAAGTACCTGAAGTGGGCTTATACGTGCTGATAAGTGTAGTTACCTTGTTTATAACCCCAGTTACTAAGTCCCATGATCCTTTAAGTAGCTTTTTGGAGCTTAGGCCGCACAGTTAACGTGGCGTTCACACCAACGGTGGCACACATGATACGGCCACAGACTTTTGGAGTGTACCAACGCAGGTCATACATCTGGAGACACACTGATGCAGAGCCTGTCAGCTTGTCTGTTTCCACCACGGCTAATTACAGCGTCTGCTGCAATGAATCCCGGGGCCTCGGAAGACTTTGGCGACAAAGACGCCGCCTTGTCGAAGCCTAACCGGCAGCTTTTGGGGGTTGCGGCTTGAACTAGGGTTATTTTATATGTGCTTATCATATATACAAGGGTATTATGGTACTATAAGGGTCCTAAAGGCCTAAAGGGGTATTGCAAGTTTAGGATCTGTGTGTGTGGTGGTCTGTGAGTTTGGCGGATTATAGGCTGCCTTCCTTGCTGCCATGGTTCGGCCTTCAGGCTTTACCCTAAGGCCCCTGGTAGTTCCTTTTTGGGGTTCATACATAGAATCCTATAGGGTAATCCCAAAAAAGGAACTACTTTGGGGCCTATGGGTAACGGCTGGCGATGGGGTCAAGGCTTTGGAATATTGACTATATGATTTTATCCCTTGCCAAGGAATTTTAGGAAATTTGATTTGGCAGCTATCCATGCCAGGGGACAACGACTCTGCCAGCAGCAGCTCGGAGATAAGCAGCTGGTGTTGAACATACCTGCAAGTTGCAGTTTGACTCGCACAAGGCAGGGTTCAGGCTTTTGAGGTTTTGCAATAGACCAAAAAGCCTTGATCAGCCCAGTGTATAGTAGCCCAGGAACCGCAAGCACCTCCTTCCTGTAGGTTCCTTATGCAAGCCTAGCCTACCAAACACGGCGTTGGTTTGGTTCCTCAGAAACTTTGGACCTTGCCGGTATTCTAAGTTCAAGCCCACCAACGAACCTGAGAGCTTAAGCCCCAACAAAGTTTGAAGCTTGAAATGTGGATTTCTTCATCAGTAAACTCCCGAAACCCTCATCCCTAGGCGCACTCGTCGAAGTCAGAGCGTCCCGTGGCGTCCGGAGCGCCGTCCTTGGTTGCGAAGGCTCAGGGTTCTAACTGGGTTCCACAGCGATGCAGGCTTTGGGGTTGGCATTTGGGAGTTTCCGGGAATTAGGGGTACCTTTCTGGGGATCCTTATAATAAGGATCCTATAGGGTACCAGATTAGGGTCCCTTATTTTCGGAAACTCCCATTTGTGACTTCGAGGATTTGGGGCACAGTAGGGTTTCCGCGCGTTGGGATGGTTGAGGCTTGCCAGACGCGGAAGGAATTGGAGAATGCGAGCGTTTCAAGCCACTTGTCGTATCGGGGAGTGACCGGTGCAAAATGCCCGGTATCACCTCAACAATGACCCCCGAAATACCAACCGGAGCCCTGGAAAGCTACCCAATCCTAGAAACTCCTGTGCAACAGCCTATGAATCGCACTAATTAATCCTAAACTCGAACACCCTAAAACCCCACACCCGAATCCAGAGATAGCTACTGGCAGCGGAGCCACGGCAACGACCAGGTCAGCCAACTCGCCCGCAAAGTGGCTAAGGACCTTCACCATGCGTTGTAGAAGCCGGTAACATGAGCGTCTGGGCATGCTCTGTGTTTTTTGCTTCCCGCGTAGCTTGGAAGCAGGCTGAGCATGCAGTCTGTGCCGTTTGAACGGATGTACATTATAAATGGTCTGTTACAGGACGAGGTACTGCGACTTCCATCGCGATTGAGCGCTATGGTTTCGGAGTTGTGCCGTAGCTCCCCGTCATGACATGCAACACTCTCCTCCGATGGCTTTGAGGAACAGTATAAAGAGGGAGTTGAATTTCAAAACACAGGGGCAACATGGAAACTCTAAGCAGTGTAGGATCCTTGGCACAAGAAGCACTCCTGTTTTCAAGACAAGCCGACTGTTGAACGGGTCGGTCATGGACATTCTGTAACTTGGAGTCCTTAACATGCCTTTGTGCGCTTCCTTTCCAGATGTTTCAGCTAGCATAATCCTGTTTGGGATACTAACTATGGTACGCTCCTGTAAGCCTAAGCTCACACCTGAGGAAACCGAGGCCGAATGCCTGCCTGGATCCTACAAAACCTTCCGTTTTAGGGCTCGCTATTGTGATTTCTTTACATAAGTCCTTGAAAACCTAGGTTGTCCTGGGTTAAGGTTGAACTTGGAACCCCAAGCCGTCTTACTTAATTAAACTGAAGGCCGATGATTCCGAAACCCGAAGCTGCCTCATGCACAGTCGATCGGTGCGTAATGTCGCCTGGTCGCAAAAGATGGTGGTCATCACGGGCTTCAAGACATCGGATCTTGCATCCGAATTCGAGCCCACAACCCTGGAGATAGTCAGCAACATGATAAGCAGTCGAAGCGCCGACGACTGTAAGCAACAATTGCGACTCAAGACCCCAAGAAGAAGCTCCAGCACAAAGGCCCCTTAAATACACATGTGGATATCTCTAAGTCTACGTGTACATATAGGTAATGCCAGCCGTCGCCTTGAACTTGAACCACACTGTCAATCCTCAGACAAGGGATACGAACACTTGAGAACGAAGCGGGTGGCATTTTGCAGGAGAGCAGTGGTGGCATCGGCATTCTGTCCAGACAGCTGGCATTGGTGATTGCCTCGTACTGGTAAAGTAATGGGACAGGATGGGAAATGCGGCATCAAACCCCAAACCCGAAACCCACAACCATTTAACGCCAAGCATGTTGAGAAATGGCATCGCTCATGCTTGCAGCTTCTGCGGTTCAAGTAAATGAAAAGGCCGAGCAACCAAATCCTCGCAGCAAACACACAAAACCTGAAACCCACAGGCCGCAACCCCTCTCGCAATCCAGCCTGAATCCCAACAGCGACAAGTCCAAAAACACAAATCCCAAAACCATAAACCACGGAGCTCAAACCACAAACCCTACACCCTTAGCATCCCTTTGCTGCAATAGGCCTCGTTTGCCTAAACATCCCCGAACCCTAAACCCCTGAACCCTATATACGCTATAAACCACCCTAAACCCTAAACCCCCAAACTCCTAGACCCTAAACCTCCAAACCTAACCCCCTAAACCCCTAAACCACTAAACCCCTAAACATCCCTGAACCCTAAACCCTACGCAGCAGAGAGCTGAAGCAGCAAACAGCCCAAGGATCGGCTGCATTTCCTCGGCTCGAAGTCTGTGTTCTTGGGTGGGACGTCGTGTATAGCTTGGGACTGAAGGATTTTCTATGTTTTAAGCACTTTCAGGTTTTGGATCTTAAGATGTATTGTATATTCGTTGTCTTGTTCAGGCCTCTAGGGACTGCGAATTAGAAGTTATGGTTCGGGGTTCTACAGGGTTTCGAAGGGATAGTCTAGCTTCAGGATCTTAGGTTTTAGGGCGTGTGGTTCGAAAGTTTCAGGCCATGTCGTGCAATGTCGTGGCTCAATGCAGGAGAGCAGGACATCGAGACGAAGCTGAAAGCCGGCAGTCTGGTGGAGGAGGTGGACCCAAGTATTCCAAATGTAGTTCCCAAACGCTCCCGAGACACGAGTTTGTGGTTCAGGCATTATGTCGGGCTTGACATGGGTTAACCCGGTATTAAGGACCACAAGGTGTTTGGATTTGGGGTCTCACGCAAGGGGTTAAAACAACACGCGAAGGACGACATGTGAGCATGCCAAGACACATATACCCAAGCCCCTGAACCCTGAATCCCCCAACCCTGAATTCCCAAACCCTTGTTTGCACAGACTTGTTCATGCCCCAACACCCCCTAAACCCTAAACCGTCAGCCTTAGCCCTATACCCTAAGCCCTATAAGCCCTAAACCCTTATAAACTGCAGCACCCCAAAACATCGAAGGTCACCGGGCCACGTATTTGTCCACGGCGACGATGCGCGGCGCGGGCCCGGGGTCTTTGCCCAGGCGGAGGGCCAGGACCTTCGCTAATGTAGGCGCCTTAATAATACAATGGGGCTCCTTTAAAGGGGTATATAAGGGCTAGAGTTACTTTAAGGGATCTATAAGGGTACTATACTTGGTAATAAGACTAAGGTTTCGGGGCCCAGTATACTGCAATTGTAATGAGAGCCCCAAAAATAGTATAGGTAATTATCAAGGCCCTATATTGCATCGTTTGGGGGCTTGGCTGCAGGGCGCCGGAACAAAGGTTTCACGAAGTGTTATATAAAGCCTTGGGTCTTACTGGGTATAGGTAGGGCGTGAGGGGTATGAAACTATGGCAGGACAAGTGGCGGATTTTGGGGTTTCGGCACCTTGTGGCGAGTATAAGATTAGGTCCAACTAGAACAACATGAACCGGCGACGCAGTTCTCGTAGGGCCTCAACGTCTTTCTGCGCTAGTCCGCCAGATCATGTTGTTCACATGCCGGGAAACCAAAACCCTTTCGCCTTTAGACTCCTACCAAGATCTACCGGACCCTAAGCATAATGATATTTTCAATTTGGGTGGAGTAATTTCGCGACTTCCTGCACTCTGCGTCCTCCCTTCACTTTCCGTAGCGGGTGCGACGAAGCTTTAGACATGTAGGGCAATGTTGCCCTTCGCTGCTCTTCTGAGAATTCTCTGTGATCGTTTTTATCGATTTGGGGGTTCGGTTTGGAGTTACCGAGTCATTTGACGATCCTTCTCATCTGCGCATGCCGGAATGCAACAGGTTCAGCGAGTGAAACCAGACTGGTCTGCTGTTGTAGGTGTATGGCATCAAGCTGCTGGTGAGGAACTGGCCCCGATTCCGATGGCATGTTCGGAGCTGTACCGGACCGCTACACATACAGAGCGCAGATATCAGAACACGCATCATGAGCAACTCTTCCGCACTTGAAAGCGTGAAATCAAGCAACGAGCAACCCTACGGAGCCCTTAATTATGATGTTGACCTGCCTTGCAACCCCCTGCAGAACTGAGAACTTGTTCATGCCAGGCCTGGCTCCAGCCGCCTGGAGCCGCACACAGGTCCGCGACATTGCGAACCTGTTCTCATGGGGTTTTGGACACTCACACTCGGCAACACAGGTATTTCGGGTGTAGGATGCCATCGAAGAACATCCGAACCTTGATTTCTGAATCGTGTCCGTGTAGTGTGAAATCTGAGTCTTAAGCTTCAATGGTTTCGATGTTCGTGGCTCGTTCTGCTGCATTCCGGGTTCTGCCACTGGGTCGGAGATTCCAATATCCCCAACCGTAACCCTGATAAACCCTCAAACCCGTGTTGAACTCTAAACCCAAACTCTAAACCCCAAACCCTACATGAAGCCTAAACCTTAACCTCGACACCCTTTCTGTATTCCTCTGGGACAGGCACCCCAGAGAGCAGGTCGATCTCGTCGTCGATCCTGGGATGCCGACGTGGCGCTTGTCGGGGCTTCCGGGCCTAATACAGCGTTGGGAGTTGCTCTAAGGTTGTTTTCATTTCCGAAGGGGTTTATTATAAGGGTTTCATATGGTTTCTATGAGGGTTCTAGTCTTAGGGACCGAAGAAGAAGAAGGTCACTTTTAATAGCTCCTTTCAGTCAGATTCATAAGGGTTACTATAAAGGTCTGAAAAGGGGGCCTAAATAATTGGAATGGTGTTTGTGGATACACAACAGTATGTGCATAAGAAGGAACCCTGGGAATAGTGAATGTTGAAGGTGTTGCATTTCAAGGTTTCTGGGACTCTAATAGCGGCGTCTCATGTATAATGAGTGGCTTATGATTTATGATGTAGCCATGAACACCATCCTCTCGTGTAATAGGTAGCTCGAGTTCCAAGTCACAGGGACTGTGCTGAGTATACAAAACTATACTTCCCCATACTACTCGTAAGTACGGCACTTTCAACCACCAGGCCGCGGAAGCAAAACCGTAAAGCCCGACCACCCATGGCCATGCAACTATCGCAACGGTAGCTACAGAATTAGGAGCTTCGGGGCGATTACCCGGATTGCAAGCGCTAGTGATGCTTGTGCGGTTACAGAGCAGCCTAGGTCCAAGAATTCGAAGCTTCGGCCTTAAATTGCAATGTCTGACCCTTAGCACCCCAGCAGCGGTCTTCCTTAAGGATGCGAAATGTCTCATGTAAAGGTTCAGCATGTCCACTACACCCTGAACCCTGTCTTCTACTTAGCTCAGCCACACCTTTGTTCGTACCAGGGACCAGGCCCAAAGCATACCCAACAACGCCGAAACATGAAGCACCACCAACATCATAGAAACGTTTGACATACCTTTATAGCATGCCCATTCTGTTTCTCAGGCTGTTCCTAGTCACCCACATCCCCTAGGCCCGAGACAGTAAAACCTAATACCAAAGTACAGGGCTCTGCATCAGCTTGAAAGCCGATCGCGCGCGGAAACCCTCCTAGAAACAGCGCAGGCCACGGTGGGGCTTTCCGAAACTTGAAATCCCATGAGGACCCTTCCACCTACGGTCCGGAATTCCATTGTCTTCTGATATGTTTTCCCTGCCTTTGGGATCCTAGAATGATCAAGACCTCTCCGCATACGAATCCCTGCATCTCTGATTTTCCCAAACTCCCAGATCGAAGGGCGAGATTTCTGATTGCTTGGGGCTCGGGTTTGGGGCTTCAGGTTTCGGGCCTGTGCTTGGTTTCTAGGAATTAGATCTGGGCCCAAGACTCCCCAGTGTGTTACTGCTCTTGCGGTCCTCGTATCATGGCAAGCACTCAAGCTACGACTGCTGATACCTGGTGAGGTCTTGTGTTCAGGCATAGATTCTGAATTGGATCATGTTCACGGGTTTAGTGCATAAATGTCGCGAAACATGGCATCTTATGCAGTTTGAAGCAAGTTTCGGGGCTTGGGAGGAGTGAGGGTTCAGGCTTCTGGGGCTTCAGGCCTGGTGCTTATATGATGGTGCCCAAACTACTGAATGACCACGCTCATGGCTGGTCTTGTGAAACTATACTTCTATAGCCAAGATGATGCTTCAAGGCTACGGGTCCTCGATTTCTCGAAGCTAAGATTCCCCTTCAGGCCGTGCAGGCGCCTTTAGTACTCACTGAGGCTCCCAAACAACCCCTGGAAAGCTCCTTCTTCGCTTCGCGGTAGTAGACATCACGCTTGTCCTTCAGCCGGCATCGAAGGGCTGACAAAGGATTTTGTCAGATAGCGATGACTCTTAACTCTTAGCGTTTTCAACCTCATCGGGCCTCTGCATCCAGGTCGCTTATGAACAGAACTTGTAATCTAACAGTGTTTGATGTTTGCAAAAGATTTCGGTTATAGTTATAGCGTGTAAGGTTCCGTGTGTGCAAGAGACCAAATTTGTCGAGGGCTCAGAAATTAAAACTCGTGCAGAGATATCAACTCCTAAATCCTGTCCATTCCTAAATCGAAGTTTCGAATCCTAAACCCAACACCGTATTTAAAAAATTGAGCAATATCTCATGCACCCTGAACTTCTTCAACCCCTTCCATCCCACAAGACCCCAAACCTGACCTCGTAAGTACCGTGAAAGGGAAACCTTAAAGGAACCCACCCCCGCTTCCATCCCACCTTGGAGAGGCGCCCCATGGTCAACGGCCAGCATGCGCGATGGGAGACAAGGGCTGGAAAAACGAGTGACCAAGTCAGCGGTCTCAAGCGTTGTAAACCCTACCTGAACCCTAAAACAAGTTCTGCTCCTTTACGGAAATCAGCAAGGAACCCTAAAGTGGTAGGTTTGGGGGCTCGGACCCATTGCCTGAGTACACCTTGGACCCTGAGGCATGGCCTGGGTACAGTCAAGGGATCGAAAGCACCAAAGTACTGACAAGTCTTGTCTTTCCCTAGGGCTCCAGTTACCTAAATAGTAGGTTACTAACCATATATTATGTACCCCAGTAACCTACTATTTAGGTCACTGGAGCCCTAGGGTTTCCTGGATTGAGCCTTCGATGCTTCAGCGCGCAGACGCAAGGTGCTGCAGGGGGCTCAGGGCCATCCTCGCCAAGTTGAAGATGTAGATGTGGCAACTGGTATACATGTGGTGGTAGTAGTCGCCGTCATAGAACAGAAGCTTCAATACCAGCAAAATAGCAGCGGCAGTGGCGACTACTTAACACTGACCTTCTCCAAATGATGGTCACCTTTCGGACTCCACTCGGACAGCTTCAGCCTTGCATTAAGAACACATATAAGGACCGCAGGCGGAGACCCTGTGTGGAAGGAAGATTGGAAGACAAGAAATATATGCAGGCCAAGGTACATGACCGGATAAAACATGGCGCCAATTGGCTTAATTTCAGAGGAACGGCCAGAGTCCACTTTCCCGCTCTTAGGGAGCACCGGAACTCACAAGCCTCAGGGTTTTGGTGCCTTCCCAGAATCCTATGGACTGAACCTTTAAGATAATCAGTCGGATCCTCGACGGTCAAGCCCTTCATCTCATCTTTCTGCACGCGCTAGCGCAGGGCAGCGACCAACGGCTGGTCTGCATGTCTTTGCGCTGCTGTCGGGGCCTCCGGAAAGTTCAAGACAATGTCACCATGTTGCATGTGAGGGAGGTTTGACGCCCCACAGAGCCCCCACCCCCCCCCAAAAAAAAAATACACTCATAAACAAAACAGTCAGATCCCAAAACACCTCAAAGGGATGCGGCATCTTCGGAAGAACCCGTCGACCAGAGTTCGGAGCAGCTTGACAAGCTCCAGACTAAACATCGTGACGTCGCCAATTCAAAATGCGCTCATACGACCCCAAAGATCCCTTGGGTGACGAACCTGATACCCCTGATCGGCCCCAGAAGGATCTACCCAATGACAACCCGAGGCAAGACATAGTGTCAATGTTACCACGAGAAACCATTCCGGTGACTGAGAATCTGGAATGGTGGGGCCTCGCGACGCAGCGAAGCTGCACCATCGAGGTCGTAGACCTGGCTCTTGAAACAAAATTTTCTTGCTTCACTGGCGGCGGTTTTGGAGCTGCGGTTTTAAGGGTTACAGCATGTTGCAGGATTGCAAGACTTACATCAAAGACCATGCAAGGCTTAGGCGAATTTTTATGAACTCAGGATCTTCCAAAGATCAAGATATCTACAGAATCTTTGTGATGTTGCTTTCAGTCAGGATCAGCCGTGCAAATCCTTCAACCAGGTGTGCCGTCATAGCAAACACTGTCACATCGTACAAATGACTGCAGGATTTCTTTTAGACTGCTGACGGCCATGATACGCGCAAGGCTAACAATGAATACTGGAGAACATAACGCTGAAAACATCCTGCTACAAACCCATGCAGCACCTGCAAGGCTCGAATGGCTCCCATGTCACTCTCAGCACGACCCACTCCCGAAGCTGTCAGTGCAGGTATTGCTGGAACCTCCTCGGCTATCTACAGGCTTTGGTGCTGTATGTTTGTCGTTCGATTCCAGAATGGCGCCCTATAGAGCCCTGGAAATCCCTAAGCCGCACAAACCTCAACCCGTAACACTCAATTCAAGAGCCCTGAGATCAGCCTGAGAGCCCAAAGGACGAAAAATGATTGAACTACTTTGTCTTCACATGCTCCGTGACAAACCGAGGAAGGTAATGCCGAACGAAGCGATGACTTTGTAATGTCAAGAAATACACTGTCAACTTAAGACTTCTATAACCATCATCAGTGTGTACTGACTTCGTGCATGTGGAATGGTAAACCGGGCATGGCTACACCATCCAGGTCGCAGCAAACCTGATTGTCCCAACAGAACTGTGTGGGTGTTGAATTTCAGGGTCTCGACGGGTCAGAAGAAGTGACTCAGCTTCGGGCCAATCGATTGCGGAATCAGCTGCTCTAGTGTTTGCCATGGTGCTTTTCTTTATAAAATTAGCTGTCTGGGTGCATCAACCGTACAGCACGATCACCATATTCCAGATGCAGGTGCACTAATTACGGCTCGACTGAACACATTGCCCGGTTCAGACCGCTCGTTCTGAGCAAGTTAATTGTCCGAGGATGTACAGGTGCCCCACTCTCCTGATCAACTCAAGATCTCATGAGCCCAAAGGCTCCATGTACCTGTATAGTAATTAGATATTTAAGCCTTAAAGGGGTCCCTATACAGGTACTTTAAGTATCTACGAAAGGTACATGGAGCCTTTCGGAAGACTTCCGCCCCGCTTTCAGCTCTCGCCCGAATGCCCATCGTTACCGGGCTGTGCAACTTCGAAAGAAGCCGGAAGAACCAGGCTTGCCGGCCGGAACATGTAGTGAATTGCTACTTCTGCTTCTGTTCAAGCCTGTGCTGTAAAGTGGAAATCATAGGACGCAGTGGCTCGCTTCATTCTCGCTCCGTGCCTATCAACAAATGGCTCCGCTTTCCCAGCTTCCGGGCACCCAAGCACCCTTCCAGATCTCACCGTTCCTCGGGCCCTGCGACTGAGCAATGCCCTCTGTTGCTAGGCTGTAGCAGATAACCGTGCTCTCCGGCACGCATGCGAAGTCCATAACAACAGTTTAACTCACACCTGTGATGTAAAGTGAACGTCCGAGTGCCTAGTGTAATTCGTTCTGGCTCCATGGACAGTCAAAACAACTCTCCAAGCAAGTGGGAACCCAAGCACCCCTCGTCATGTCAGCAGGTCAATCAACTTTAGAATTTGTAGGAACAATAGGAATGATAGGGATTGAAAGCGGTAAGGTGATAAACGGTTCAACAATAGTTCTGACTGCTTGAACAACATGGATCCTGGATCATTGTAATTGGAGTCTTTGCAATAACGGCATCTAAAAACAGTAAGTGCAACAATTAGCGCTACTCGGTGATAACAATACTGGCAACAGAACTAAACATAGCAGGAGTAGCTATCAGAGTAGTCGTACCAAAATAGTACGTATTGCTGGGCTGTGAAGACTCGGCAATCATATCTGGCAGACCCGCTCTCTCCGGCACGGACCATGGATTTCTAAGTACCATTCCTTTCATGTGAGGTCTGTGATGTAAAGCAAAGCAAAGGTCCGAGGACGCGGTGACTCGTCTCGTTTTCGATCAACGTGTCTATCGAAACTTGCCCATACTATCCCCAGCTCATGGGCACCCAAGCACTCTTCCAGCTGTCACCATTCCTCGAACCCTGCGACTCTGCAATGCCCTCCGTTGCTGGGCTCTCCAGACTCGTGCATATCTGGCGGACCTGTGCTCTCAAGCAAGGACCATGGATGTCTATACTTACCGTTCCTCTCAGGAAGGTCCGAGGACGCGGTGGCTCGCTTCCTTTTCGAACAATGTGTCGCACAACGTATGGGCACCCAAGCACCCTTCCAGCTGTCACCGTTGCTCGGACCTTTCAACACTGCAATGATTCACTGCAATGCCTGACTGTGGATGCGTCCTGCGCCTCCGCTTCATGCATTGCGAGGCGTTGCCAATGCGTATTTCTCAGGCAATCCACTAGTACATGTAGTTTTGCTGCCATGAACAACAAAGACGAAGCATACATCAGCACGTTCTGTCGCATGACAATAAAACGCCTGTCTCTGCTTTAAACGAAGGAAAAGCCTGCTTCAATGTTTCTGCAACTCAGACTGGATGGCTTCCTTCTCCGGCTCCTGACACCTACTAGCCTTGCTGCTGGCGTTGCTGCGGCCGAACCGTGCTTCCGGGCTAGCCCCCAGGTCCAGCAGCATCTTCACCATGTGGACTTTGCATTTCCCAGCCACGAAGGGCAGTATGGCCTCTTTGGGGGGCTCCAGGTTCATGCCGTGTTCGTGAAGAAGGACCACTGAATCCAAGAAGGCATCGTCCGTCAGCGTTTTGCTCGACCAAAGGTTCTTCAATATGGGCGCAAGGGGTCCTCCTGTGCCACATGCAAGCTGCAACGAGCCCTTGCATACTACGGCACCAGCTACTAAGATGGTATGGACTGGTATGGAATGCACACTTCAAACTACGGATTTATCCGTCCATGCTGATAGTCACGGATACATACCATGAATTTGGAGTCTTTACAAAGTGACGGTGTGGTTGACGGCTAGTAAGACGGCCTGCCAGCTCGTCTACGTTTTTCACACTGTCCAAGAGCACCGCCACAGCTGAGAGGTCAGTTTTTTCCAGAGCTTCCTTCAATGCCTCGCCTGCGAGCTTGCAAGGCGTCTCAGAGCGTCAGAACAATAGAGGGCCTAAATGGGCATCATGTTAATTTAGAGCCTTGTATATAATGGGATCCTTACTATACGGGCCCCTGCATAAGGTACTCTTCAATACAAGCAAATGGAGGCTAGGCTATGAAATTGGCCTTGGCAAGCTTTGTATGCAGACGGGCTCATCTGCTGGAGGATGGCGAGGACATCCCACAGCGCCGTGTAGTTCTGCGCGGTGCCCTCGCCTGAGGAAGCCTTGGCCTTCTGCTGGCAAGATTCGGTGTTCATGGCGTGCGTTCGGACAACCTGCACGAGAGTTGACTCCATGCAGTCTTCTTCGACTGTGTTCGCCACGGTGGCATTGTGCTTTCTCAGAAACTCCATGGCCGAAATTTGGCAGTGGCTTCCTGCGGCCACCAGCGCAGTTCCTTGCTCCGTCATGCCATTGACGTTGGCATTCTTATCCACGAGCTGGCGAAGAGCCGGGAGGTTGTTGTAAGCATCGGGAAAGCACACGTTCAAGTTTTAACTGTGTGAGTGGGGGTGGGGGTGGGCTGCGGGGGGGTGGGAGGTGGGGGGTGGGGGTGGTGGGGGTGGTTGGAGTGGGCAGGTCGGGGGGGGTGGGGCGGTTAGCGTTGTTATCGTGTCGTCGTCGCGGTTATCACTTCTGTAAACCACTTTATGATTAGCCTCAAACATGACCTGCTGGTGCGCTCGGTCTTTGGTGTGCTGACCGCCTGTTTTGAAGAGACGCTTTATGCTGCAAAGATGTTACAAGTGGACAAGCTCGTTCCCAGCTTAAGAGGGCTCTTCCGTCGTTGGTGATACACGTAAGGGTCTGTTTGTACATCCACTGCTTCCTGGACAATGGGAGCATGCAGAGTGCGTCTCATCAAGGGAGACAAGAGCCCAGCTTCGAGACGGGAGCGCGTGCGGTGTGCACACGTCTTTGTTATTGTTGGCATAATCTCACCATGCTGGCTTTTGCTTCCACAGCACAAGTGGCGCCAATCTCAGCGAAACTTCTTAGACAACCTTGTGCAGTTCAAGAACGACAACCTCCGCCATCTTGCCAGAACCACAGGTTGACAACATTCCAAGACACAGAATTTCGTGCAAAAGCTATTCGGAGCAGATATGCACAAGACAAGCTGGCCAGCTGGGCGGCTGCGGCAGTCTGCAGGGGGGTCACGCCCATCCAGATCTGGTTGGCGTCGGCATCCCACTCAAGCAGCTCCTGCAGGGAAGACGGATCTCAGAAAGCCACAACTCCCAAGACTTCAAAATTCAGGCAACCGGCTATCCTCACAGACAGTGGACAGAGGAGGAGCAGCCTGTAGCAGTTGCAACAGGGCACAGGACACAGCAGCAATCACGGTGTAGCTAATGAGGCCACTAAATGAGCAGGCAAAGCACCATTATCGCATCTAGTGACTTCCACAACATGCTGATTTCTTGTGTAATTAAGCCCACCCCTTCCTTCACACTCGCAGAGGAATTCAAACGCACCGCCCGAGTCAACCACCCAGCATCCAGGCATCCTCTACCTGAGGAGCTGGGAGGATCTATGTAGCGACATACCCTGCCCCAAACACCGCTCCAAATCGAGTAAAACGCATAGGATCAAAGAGTTGGCATGCTACACCAAGAACCCTATAGCGAGTTCGAACTGCAACTCCGTCCACGTCACCCCAACATATCCATCAAGACCCCTGAAACGATGATGGAGACTACGAAATATCACACACGTGTCTGAAATGGACCAGCAACTGTCGCGCACGGACATGGTCATCCACAGGGACCCTTCTAATGCAGTTGCGTTTTCCAGGTCCAAGGCGAGGTCGAAGCATCTGCTGGGGGAGTGCGAGACGGTCATGTCATAGCGTGCTCCACGGGGCAAATAACGTTGACACCACGCCCCGCAGCCGGAGTCGTCTTTGCGAACTGACCGAAAGCCGCGCCTGCGCACAATGCCGCAGTTGCCGGGCTCCTGTAGGTCCTCGGGGATGACGTGGAAACGAGAATCCGTCACGAATGCCTCGACTTGGTCAAGGGCGCCATGTGCACCACATATCGCATAGTCCAATGGCCCATCGAGGCTGAAGGTCGGAAGAAGGAAGCATGCATCGGACTCGTCCCTCACCTGCAACAGGGGCCGCGGAGCCCCTGATACCACCATGAGTTGCGCCCTAAGGGCTTCGGTATTCGTCAGGTCTTCTGTAGCCGCAATTTGGATTGCAGTATCGTCATCCTGCACCTTCAGGAGGCCGGTTAGCCGATAGACGGTGTTCAAGCTGTGGTTCCCGACGGCCTCTGCATCGAAGTCCGGCCCAGGTGTCAAACGGACCCAATTGCCGCTGAATTGGATGTCCTGCAGCCACGGCAGCATGCCGCTGTCCGGGCCTGCCACTCCCGCATTGCCTGCAGGTCCAAACACAAAGTTTGAAGGTGCCAGAACAACTTCCTAAAGAGATATACATTTTCTGACTCCACACCGCAGGCCCACCTAAGTCGGGGAAGACCGAATGCTCTGCAGAATGCTGGTAAATGCAAAACTGCGAGCTGCCGACGTTGACCGTTTCTTCGACAACACAGTCGTAGCCTGCACCGGGGCAGAAGCTTGAGCAGCTGTATAATTGATAAGGAAATTTGAGGGGTCAGCGTCTGCGTAGTTATCCGGAGATTATGATCCGCAATCACCGCTTTCTGATATCTCATGCAGCCAATGATCCAAAGTGGGAAGGGGTAGATGCATTTTTCAGAGCATCTTCTGACCATGCCATACCACCTAATCATGTTCTCTACTGCACTTTGCGAGGACATGTGTATGTGTTAAAACACACACACACACACACACACACACACACACTTATGATTAGCGTATTCACCCATGCTCACATACACACGCGGTGTACGGCTGCAATAACTTCGGTTCCGGAGCACCACACCATTCCGAAAAAACAGCAAAACTATGCAGGTCTGGCAGCACTAGTACTACTATAAAATAAATTCATCCGGACCTGAAGGTTTCTTGCTGTAACTGTGGTGGGCCGTAATCAGAAGACTATGTACTGCCACTGCTGTGGCTGCTGCTGCTGGTGCTGCTGCTGCTGCTGCTGCTGCTGCTAATACTTCGGGTTCAACTAACTAGGACTAGCACTGGCACTAGCATTAGCGGTACCCTGGTACGAGGAAACGTATCACGACGACTACCACCGCCAACACCACTACCACACCCACGACGACACTACTACTGCTATTCCTCCTGCTGCCCCTACTACTGCTACTGCTGTTTCTACTGCTACCGCTAGTACTACTCCTCCTCCTCCTCCTCCTCCTACTACTACTACTACTACCACTACCTACTACTTACTACTGACTGCTTACTACTTACTACTTACTACTTACTACTACAACTACAACAACTACTACTACTCGCGCTAGTACTCACGAGACAAGGATGTGTGGATTTCGGAATCTGAGCCCTGGGTTGCTGCGTCAGGCATGGCCAACCAACGGTGGGATGCAGGCCTGCAGACTCACGGTGGCACCTCTCGGCTACACGAGGGATTGAATCTGCAATTGTGTCGGCTTGCTCCTTTGCGCAGATGCGAGTTCAGAGTTTGAGTGGTCTAAGACTTCAGGGGCTGGGGCTTAGTGCAGGGCAGGGTCTATGGGCCCTCTAGCATTCCATAGGTCTGCAATGAAACCGAACCGAACGCCGCAAAGCCATTTCGGCGCTCAAACTCGCAGCTATCCAATATTCAATACAACATACAATGTTGCTTAAACCTTGCCATCTGCAAACTTGGGTGCAGATGCAGAGATGTCCGGGGAAGCGAGAGATCTCACCCGTATTAAGGCAGCGAGCAAGTCATGAATGAGATGCTTCTGGGTTTACATGATGCCGGGCACTGGCTGTCAAAATACAAGATGGACGTTTTGACATATTCATGTGTGTAGGTATGAAGATGAAAACACTGAAGATGAAAACACTATAAATCTGTGTATATGTATATAGATATACATATATGTATATATATATATATATGTATATGTTCTACATATGTACTATGTATAGACAAACATAACTTGTCAACCTGCTTGTCCTGGGAACCGGCGACCATGGGTGCAAAGACCAGGGAGGTCATTTTGACCAGCAGGGTGATATTCGCTGAGAAATCGATGTCTGGCACATACCACACGCGATGCCGCAACTGGTACCGGAGTGTGCGCTCCTCCAGAAACGTGGTCCCTGCCAGCTCGGGGTGTCTGGTTTCATTGAAACTGCCGGAGAGCCCCAAGGAGATGGCCTTGCCCACGCGGAGGATGTGAATCACGTAGGTTGTGTTGACGTAGTCGCCGACCGCTAGGAGTGAGAGCCGAGAGTAGAGGGGGCCGCTGGGAAGGGACAGCTGCAGCTCACCCGACATGTTCAGGAATAAAGATCCGCGCTCCTGGCGCACGGAGCAGCTATACTTGTGATTGCTAAGCCATGTTTATCCATAAGGGCATTTTCACAGGAAGGAATATCAAGAGGAAGCCATGCTACAGTTCGTGGCAACACAAGCCTTTGTAATTGGAGATAATGTCCCGGTCCTGGTCCTCTTCCGTCAAGAGGGGGTGTGCAAGGTCCATCTCCACACCACGGGTGAACTCACCAAGATGCAGGTCCACAGTAATGGAGTCAGCGTTCCGGTCCAGAAGCAGCGTGTTGTGGAAGGCGGAGCTGCCAGGAGGATAGATGAGCTTCCCTCGTGTGAAGCCGTAGTGTACGAGTTCCCCTCGCAGCTGCAGGACGTCCAGCGTGATACGGGCGACGAGCATCATGGCTATCAAGACGACTGTGCACGTCACATGGCGAACCACGGATAGGCTCTGTGTCCTCTTGCTGGAGAGACGAGCAGGATGATCGGAAGTGCTCGGCATCGCTTTAACCGTGGCTGTGTAAACCTCTTTGCTTGCCAGCTGTGGCTCCCGCCACTTCAGTCGCACAGCACTATTGTCATACATGGCCTTCCCATGCATGGCCTGGCAAAGCAAGAAGCAGAGCTCAGTCACAAGCTGTTTGCTAGAACCAGCCACTAGCTTTTCGATGATGATGGTCAGTATGGCAGCCTGAAGCACCGCGAAAACCACGAGCATCTTCAAATGTGTTGCAGGCAGTCGAAGCAGATGGCGCTTCCTTTGCAAGACTTCATCATACTGCATAGCGAGCGCATACGTCCGATAGCGCTCCAGCACTACCAGCAGATGCGTGGCCAGGGTACCAAACATCAGAGTCATCAATCTGGCAAAGGAATTCATCGACGTGAAAAACTCCACCAAAATCCACTGAGAGGACACATGCACTGACAGCAACACGAGGATGCCTCTGAGAAGCACAGGAAGTGAAGGTAATAGATCGGTATGCGTGGAAAAGATCACATTCGTCTTGTCCGTCACCACTCGTGGCATGCGTTCACCTTCCTGTGACAGAACGACGAAGCACACGAGAACAGCTGAAACTCAATCGAGTAAGGTGATGACCATGTATACACATATGTATGTATATATATATATATATATATACATATGCATAGATACAAATAAAAAATACGTGATGATCCATGGAGACAGGTGATGAATATGTGTACATATATATATATATATACACACACACGCACATATATATATATATATATATATATATTTGGACACACGTGTAGTTCTGTATGCATATAGATATAAACGTTAGTTTATTCAGTTGTGATCATATGAGTATGTACTGAAACATATGGATGGTAACTCACCCTTTCGGTCCACAGTTCGGTATCTTTTCTATATTTGTATACTATACAGCTGGAACACATAATCCGACGTGGGTGCCGAAGAGGAAACACATCAGTTCGACGAGACCAACCATAACGAAGCTCAATGTGAAGAAGATGCTGTATGAAGAAAGCGGAAACACCCAGACATGACAAAAACAAACAAAACAAACAAGCAAACATAACAACATGATAACGCAGTGCATCCCAACAAATCCAAACCAGAACTTCAAATTTCAAGCATAACAATAGAATTTTCAGCCCAACGTTGAACACAGTCTCGCATTGCTTGGATGCAGAATCTGCATGTGGTCTTCCGGTATCGTACGACCCATGAGAGTCGCGTATGCAACTTTGCTCAACCTGCTACTCACTCTAGCGTGCAATGTGAACACACACCGATCAATTAAGTGACATCTACCAGGCTAGCTGCTCGCTTGAAGAGTTTTGAAATTTCCAGCTGTTCGTGTCTGTACGTCATTTGCATATATATATATATATATACATATATATATATATATATAAAACATATATATATATATATATATATATATATATTAGCGTGTGTGCTTACATGTTGGTTATGGTGAACATTACGTATGCATTTATCTATACGTGTCCATATCTGTCTTTCCTGTTCCTGCATGAATGTCCACAAACGTACAGAGGTGCAAGATTGCCGGTATTCCCCCATGATAGGCGATATGCATAAGTGTAGGCATACAGATAACAAGAGTTCTGGTTACATGCAGTACTTCGCATGCACATCTGCTCATGTGCGCTTATACACGACAGTGCGGATTACATGTATGTGTGTATGTATTTATGTACATGTTTACTTAGTACATATATATATATATATGTACATGTTACACAAACAAATTTGTACATATGGTTTATTATGGCATATTGTATTATACCAAACTATGTTATAGTAGATGATTGCATTGTATAATAGTATGCTATCCAATGTTGTTCTATGCTATGTTATGTGCGTTTCTTTCATGTGTGTATACACCGACAGCTTCCAATAGTTCTACGGCTTGGTAAGTCTATGCTGCTAAAACACCAGTATGCATGAATGAGCTCAAAGTATCCATATATACAGGCATATACGTAGATACACATACAGGCATATATGCATGTGTTCTAACGGATATATGCTACGCCAAACTGCAAACCCATGCCATGATACGGAAATGTGCCAATCTGCTCGTGTGTGCTCATACATGGCGGTGTGGATTGCACGTTTACAGTTGATGGGCTTTTCATTGACTGTCTCAACACCAACAGCCTAGACTGGTGCTGACCGCTGCTCAAATATATGTTTCACAATGTCAAGACGACAAAAGCATGTAAAATAATGACCTGAAGAAAAAACCTACGTGCTGCTGTCTGCGTGGTTAGTGCTGCTGCTGCTGCTGCTGCTGCTGCTGCTGCTGCATTAGAAAGATCATGTGTCGGAACATGTACGGGAATCCCCAACAAATAGCTTATACTAGCACGATACAAGAGAAACTAGCTTAGAAACAGACTCCGGATCAGACTTACGGAAATTCGAGCATATCCAGGCGGCATCACAGTTCGTACCACGACCAAACACGTCACATCTACAAACGACTAGCTGCAGGGACACATGTACAACAACAAAGATTCTCAACAGGTCCCCAGGTACCAAAACAAATCGAGGTCCAACTAGGCTGTTTAGGCGTTAGTAAGCGCGAGAACGCTGCTTCCCTTACGGCCTTGGGTTTGGGCTCTGCTCTGTGGCTGCTTGGTTGCCGCTGCTTGGCATTATCGCGACTCCTTTGGTGAATGTTGCGGCTAGTGAATGCTAGAACGCCGCTTCGGTCACCCTTGGCCTGTGATGTGGCTCGCCTTCCCTGCTTCGGGCAGTGCCTTTTCTCACTGGGTTGCAAGGTTGCAGTTAGTAAGCGCGTGAACGCTGCCTGCGTTTGGGCTTTGCTCTGCGTTGCTTGGTTGTTGCCGCTTGGCATGGTCGCGACTCCTTCGGTGTATGTTGCGGTTAGAAAGAGCGTGAACGCCGCTTCTGCCACCTTTGGCCTGCCATGTGCCTCGTTTTCTCTGCTTCGGGCGGTGCCCTTTCTCACCGGGTTGCAAGGTTGCAGTTAGTAAGAGCGAGAACGCTGCTTCTCTTACGGCCTTGGGCTTGGGCTCCCGGTTGGCTCCACTTGTCTTGGACTTTGGTGTGCACGACAACGCAGAAACGAAGTTTGCGGGGTCGCTCGTTGTCCGACGGGACTAGAACGACGGCCGGGGACCTTTGCTTTGGGGAACCCACCGCTTCTTCGGGTAGTTGCTGGACGACGGTTCTCTTCTACCTCTGTTTGTCGCTGAGTAGTTTGTGAACCTTCCAGAATACAAGCCTACAAATACACACGCTGGTTTGTAAACATATACTACAAGTAACAGTTATTGAACAACACATCGTCAGCTTTATCATGCCTCGGTCTTTTCCGATGTTTGTGTATTTCCCACGCATCATTACACCATGGTTTGGCTTACGATCGAACGGAACACTGTACTGCTTTACATGCATCTGCGCTAGTCGGTGATGTGTCAACGTGTTTGAATGCCCAGAGGCGCCTGCTGACACGCGCGCACCCACACAGAGACAAGCACACACACACAACACACACACACACACGCACAAACGAACACACAAACAAGCGACAAAAGCAAACAAGCCCCATCACAACATCACAACTGAATCAAGTGTGGGCCAAGCGGCGGTGGCGGGGGGGGGGGGGGGGGGGGCAGATATGGATATATATATATATATATATATATATGTATATATGATATACAAAATCCCATGTGTGTGTGTGTGTGTGTGCGTGCGCCCATAAGCATGTGTATATATATATATATATATAGACAGATAGACAGATAGATAGATCTATATGTATACACAGATGCATACCTTTGGGAAGAGAAAGAGAGAGAGAGAGAGAGAGAGAGAGAGAGAGAGAGAGTGACAGAGAGTGACAGAGAGAGACAGAGAGACACAGAGAGATAGACAGAGAGACAGACAGAGAGACAGACAGAGAGACAGACAGAGAGACAGAGAGAGACAGAGAGAGACAGAGAGAGACAGAGAGAGACAGAGACAGAGAGCGAGGAGGTTTTCGGGGGGCCTTGGAAAGGAGTAGCCAGCCAGCAGGTGTTTCCAGCCGCCCCCAAAGCGTCTCCTTTGGCTTACCCAACGGTGTCCGAATGACGTCCGCCACGTCGCCTGAAAGAACCAAGGAGGCGAGGGACAACCGAACTTTCCCCTTCCTCAGATGCCCAGTCCGCAGGATGTTCACGATGGTAGTGGCTAGTCGGGTGCTGCTGCTTCTGCTCATCATTTAACCTATCTTGCTCGTCATGAGCAGCATCGTGAACCAAGGCCCTGTGTGTTTGGTTTTTGGAGAATGGTAAGGTATGTGGTTGCAACAGCGACCCAACAAATGGGCAGCTGGTCCTACATGGTCTGTTGCCCTCCGAGGCTCTGCACTTCCTGCACGACCACGCAGCTCCCAGCATCGAGCGGATCGTCCTGAACCTTCTCGCCACTTTCCTGGTACCTTATCCAATGACCACGGAAAGAGCGATATCAAACAGCCCTTGCAAACTGCATCACAGCAGCGGCGACAAACAGAATAGCCTCAATGCTCCTATCAGGCCGTGGGGCAGCTGTGCATGCTGCGTCAAGTGGAACGTACAGGGAAACGACCAATCGGTCTTCGCCAGCAAGGAGCCCTCGGGCTCATCGGCTTCTTCCCCACCATCTTGTTTTGAGGCTCCACGTCCTTTTACCATGACATAGACGGCGGAAATGGCCAAAGCCAATAGCAACAGGGAGCCACAAGCCAGGACGGCTTCCATGAGGGAGATCAGTAGGGCAGGAGACGACTTGTAGCGATCGAGGACTGCATACCAGCCACGAACCACGGAGCTTGGGTGGAAGGGTAGTGCTTCGAAAGGCAACTTCGCGATGCAGCGTGGGGAGGATGGTGTGGGCTGACACAAAAACCAAGTGCCGAAGGCTTTTGGGGTGGTAGGCACCAGGAGCGCCCGCCAAGAAGAGTTCACCTTCTTCGGGTCCTCTGGGAAGAGATGGAGCTCCACCGCTGGCACCTGCTCCTCCTCCCCCGGAACTCCCATCACCGCTTCCTTGACAGTCTTGGTAGAAAGCTTGTTCTGCACTGCCGACTGGAGGACTGTCTTCACCTGCTTGACACGGAAGCGTTGCGCAAGCTGAGCGCGCTTGGCATTGGTGTCTTTCTTCACCTCACAGCAGCACAACAACACTTTGAAACCTGCACCAATCGCCAGCACAACCGCACAGCCCGGTGCAGAAATGTAATCCCCAGCCCCGGTTCGACAACTCCGGGCCTTCTCAAGCTCCACGCCATGCATGGGATCATCGCAGGACGCAGTCTTGGATAGAAAGAATTCCCGAGATTTCATGAAGGTGAAGTCCGGCCCTTCCAACGCCAGCGATCGCAAATCCAAGCCGCTCCTTTCAACAGCGAAAGTTACAAGTTGACAAAGGTGTGTAAGGGCCGACTTAGCAAAACAAACGTTTGATACAGAGCTCCAGGTGCTCACAGCCAGTAAACCTAGCAACCCGAACTCCGAAGCCACTGTATTTTTATGACTATTACTATAGTTTTAGAAGTAGAGTAGAGAGTAATGGTGTTGTTATCGCAACTCTAAAGCCGGGGCTCGGAGTGGCACTGGGGCAATCATCCCCATCATTCTCCGGCGCAGGGCTTATGTGGCGATTGTCAGCCGTTGTGTCGCGCACAGCTTGACACAGGGACCATATGAATTGCCAGACAACGCAAATCGCTAGCATGGCACGAAAAGCGTGCGGCCTCTCGCTCGGCAACACACGCTGCCAGAGCCGAAAGGAGCCTCATACCTCCTATAGGCTATGACCATGTGCCAGATCTAGAGTCTAGAGATGTCTAGAGAGTCTAGCCCATGACAGATGGAAGTGCCTTCTGCCGGAAACCACAAAGCCTTGCAGCCAGCTGGGGCAGAGACAAAGCTGGTGTCCCGAGAGGTTCCATGCTCAGCGGATTCCTGCCCTTCCCAGTCTCCTAAGGTCTGCTTGCTGCTGGTGAATAGACTTTTCATCCTTCTTCCGGGCTTGGGCGTGGAGGGTTCATGAGATAAACTCCGAAAAACAAATCCACCCTACCTGGAGAAGAGCTGTCTGGTAAAGGGGCAGTGTTGTGCCACGGTAGGGGGCTGGGACGAGGAGTGTCTAGGAACGGCGGGTTGGGGTTGCTTGACTGAAACGTCTGCAGCTCGAAAGCATGTTGTCTAGGGATCTGTTAGCAGGCTTTGGGATTTGAGCTTCCGTGCTTCGGTGCAAAGACATAGACTGGCGCGTCGACTCGAACAATCTCGAACTGCCCTCGTCGCCGGGTTAGAGATGAACTGTAAACTCGAACTGCCCATGCAGCACTGCCACGACAATACCGCGAAATGCAAATGGCCCTCAGGAAGAAGCCTCACCACATCGCAAGCTTTTTCGGCACGCGTGAGCAGCCACCGAGGGCTCGTCTGCACATCTCTGCAACACTGTCGGGACCTCCCTATCCCCGAGCCCTGATCCGGCATTGAAGCTTGAAACATGAAATCTGCATATCATACGTGGGGACCGATGTGGGGCTTCTGAGAACTGATAACCTTGTCTTTATTTCGAGCCTTAATTCGAAGTCCGAGGACCCCAAACCCCAACAGCACTATTGAGTCTTATGTCTAAGCGCTATTATAAAGCCCTATATCAATCTATAACTGTAAGTCTTCTGGCAAACGACGCTACTCCTCCAACGGTCCGACTGGCTCCTCACCACCATCCGGGGATCGTCGAACCACAGGCGTGTCCTGCGGTTTCGGGTTCGGGATCCAGCTGAAGGGTTTCCGGGTTCTGGGTTGAAGGCAAAGCCTCAAGCCAGGTGATGCAAGAAGGCTCGGGAAAGTGCTGCACACCACGGTTCAAGATTGAGGGTAACCCTCTGTCTTTCTTGCCTCTCTCTCCGCCAATCTGCCTATGTACATCCCTATTATAGCTATATAATATAGCTACTTTAAGGCCAAGGTACATGCCAAATGGGTACATGGACCCCAAGAAAATTCGTCATCCTCAACTCTGATCTCTGTGAACCCTAAAGCCTAAACTCCTAGACCCCTAAACCCTAAACCCCAACCCAGTTGGTTTCTTCCCGGTCTCCGGAAAAGCTCCCCACTCCGCCCAGGAGCCGTCGTAGACGGTCCAGCGTGTCAGGGGCATGCCTGGGGAATCCAGCCATAGATTGGCGGGCCTTATAGGGCTTTAGCATTAGATTTGTATGGCTTTAACTTTAGGGTCTTATCTAGAGGCATAAGTACGTAGAACCTTTATGTTCTATTTGACGGATGCTGTTTCTTATAGTCAATAATACTAAGAATTTTAAACATTTACAATTGCTTAAAAGTTTTAAAATTTTTAAAAATTTCAATTTTCCAATAAAGGAAATATTGAAATATTTAAATATTTGAAATTTTCATTTTTTTACAATGTTTAAAATTTCCAATAAAGGAAATATTGAAAATTTTAACTATTTACAATTTTTAATTTTCTAAAACTGTAAAAAATTTCAATAAAGGAAATGTTGAAAATTTTAAATAGTTAAATCCAGGTTCTGGAGATTGGGATCCGGATTTGGACAGCGATGTAAATTTTAAAAAATTTAAAAAAAATGAAAGATTTTAAATATTTGAAATTTTCAATATTTTCAATATTTTCAAAATTTTTAAAAATTTTCAATAAAGGAAAATTTGAAAATTTTAAATTCTTAAATCCAGGTTCTGGAGATTGGGATCGGGATTTGGACAGCGATTTAAATTTTAGAAAATTTAAGACATTTGAACAAAATAAATATTTAAAATTTTCAATATTTTCAAAATTTTAAAAATTTTCAATAAAGGAAATCTTGAAAATTTTAAATATTTAAATCCAGGTTCTGGAGATTGGGATCCGGATTTGAAATCGTTCTCGAAATCCCGGTCGCAATCTCCAGAATTCAAAATATTGAAAAATTGTCCACATCCGGAGCCCAATCTCCAGAACCTGGATTTAACTATTTAAAAATTTCAATTTTTCTTTTATTGAAAAATTGAAAAAAACAAAAAATATTGAACATATTAAATCTTTAAAATTTTCCATGTTTTTAAATTCTTTAAATTTTTTTAAATTTAAATCGCTGTCCAAATCCCGATCCCAATCTCCAGAACCTGGATTTAACAATTTAAAATTTTCAACATTTCCTTTATTGAAAATTTTTAAAATTTTAGAAAATTAAAAATTGTAAATAGTGACAACGAAATTCTCACACAAATGCCATGAATCCCTGGCTTCAGCGGAGGTGTTTTCCAACTGCTTCCGCTTCGGTGGCGTTAAGTCTGCGCTTCGATCTTACAGATCGAAGTAGTCGATCTTACAGATCGGTGTTGATCTTTCTTTCCGCTGGGAGGACCGACTGGTTCCCAGGCGGTGCTCGCAGACAGGAAGCAGAGGAAAAATTAAAGTAATATCGAAGAGGGTCGGGACGGGTGGGTGAAACAAAATTTCGCTCAAGCTGTAACAGCTTTCGCCAAAATGGCCACGGAGTATACAATCATTCGACATGAATCGGTGAGTCAATCCCCTGACCGATTCGGTGTTTAAGTGAGATATGAAGTTGTCACTTCGCACAAACAAGTCTGTGCTACACGACAACGAAATTCTCACACAAATGCCATGAATCCCTGGCTTCAGCGGAGGTGTTTTCCAACTGCTTCCGCTTCGGTGGCGTTAAGTCTGCGCTTCGATCTTACAGATCGAAGTAGTCGATCTTACAGATCGGTGTTGATCTTTCCTTCCGCTGGGAGGACCGACTGGTTCCCATCGAGTGTGGTCGCGTCCTCCCATCGCAGGCGAACGCCACTCGAAAGAACATTAGCGTAACATCGAAAGCAAATGGTCGTGCAATCGGTGAATTTCGGGTAAGTCGGAAAAACCCGTCGAGGAAGCAAAATGGATATCTCCTATGATCTTCGCAGCTCTACTCGTCAGTGCATTAAGAGGCAAATCGAGTTTAGTCCAGCTCTCAGACTCCGGAACGTTCTCAAAGCGGCTGATCCCGTCGGAGATGTTCGCCTTGGTGGGTACCCGCTCAAGTCGATGTGCAATGCTGCGTCGATTGTGCCAAGTCCAATGTGCCGCAATGAGGCAATTCAAAGGTTGATGTTTGCCGACGCCCTTGAGTAGGGCGTGTCGGGAGGCTTCGTTGTCGCAGCATTGAACGTAGAACTGATCCAGCCATGGTTCGAAGACCAACGGTGCCAGTATCGCTACCCATGCTTCGAGAAGGTAAATGAAGGCCTGGTCGGAGGCAAACTGTCGAACGAGTAGTGAGGGAAGACGACCCTGGAAGTATGCGGCGGTTCGCACGTCACCGTGGTGGAAGCAAACCGCCGCCCAGCCGTTTTCGATGTCGGACGTCGACTTTGAGTCCCAATTCGGGATGTCGTTGTCTCCCGGCTTGTAGATGGTGGAGCCAAGCCGGAAGTATGCGTCCGTGTAGATGACGCTGTATGTCGTCTTGGTCGGTGTACGTGGTATCGTCATTGGTCGGCAGTGCTGTATGATGTCCTTGAGGGCGAGTAGTGATGAGCGCGTGGGCTTGTCGAGGGCATGCGAGTAGGAGTGAGCTCGAGAATAAAGTGCCTTCAGGGCCGCTCGGCCCACCTTGCCAAATAGTCTCCCAGTCAGGAAGTTGCACTTCCCGGCCATCTTCCTGGCTTGTTCGGGGGACAGTGACGAAGTAGCCAGGTGTGTGTCGATTTGTCTACACATGTTTTCGACTCTCTTTGGACAAGGTGTGAGGACCAAGTTGTCGTCGTCGGATGAAATGATGACTCCTTGTATACGATGTGCTGTTTGTGGTGGTTGACGTTTACTGGGTTTCATCGATATCTGGAGACATCCGTTGTACTCCTCGAAGGACTCGAAGCTGCCGTTGGCGAGGTCGGAGTCTTCCATGGATCCGTAGTCGTCGACGTAGTGCATGGTCGGAGACAAGATCATCGTTCGGCTGCAGGCCACGAGAATGTCGCCGAATCGATTGTAAGACCAGACACTTGCGGCCGATCCGAAAAGAAGGACGTTGTGGCTCCACAGCGTTGGGCCGTCCGGGGTCAGCAACATCACATAGGCTTCTCGAGGATCACGAAGTGGAAGTTGGCGATAAGCCCCGTCGTGGTCATGTCCCCAAACAGACAAGGGTTTCGAGTGATCGGTTCGGAGTGTAGCGAGTCCCAAGGAAATAAAGTGGTCGGGTGTGTGATGGTACGGTTGGTCGTGCATGGTGCAGGTCGCATTGTGGCCACTCCGGCGCCAATCCTCGCCTCGTCGGACTTTGTTGTTGCCGTCGCTGCCGGTCTGTTCGATGCTGAAAGCCATGGCGATGTAGGGATCGGAGTGTGGTAGTGGTAGCAGGGCTCGATGTTTCCCTTTCGGTGGTACTGTGGCGGCTCGAGGCCACCAATCGGGGGCTTGATACGGTCCGTTCATGCGTCCCATGTCGACTTCGGCCAGGATCTCATCCAGCATCAGTTCCCAATGTTCGTCGACGGAATTCTTCTCGATCTTGTCGTGGATGTACTGTCGGTTCTTGTCACCAAACTCGTCGATCGGTGTGGGTTCGAGATATTTAAGGTCTTGTCGAACGTGCCAGTTGATGCCTGGGGTCAACTTGCCCATCAAGGGGAAACCTTCGGAGAGTTCGCGATATATCAGCTCTGTTTGTGGGTATTGGATCAGTC